CTCGGGCAGAGTTCCTGAGAGCTAAGTGTTTGCACACAGGTTGTCCTACCTTCTTTGGGGCTCTAGTACTCATCTCCTAATGATAGCTCCTTTACCCTCGCTTTGAGTGATCACTGCTCAGACCCTAAAGAAGCAATGGTTCCCTGGTTGGGGGGTAAGGGTGGGACTGCAATGACAGCCACTTACAAGTACAAGTCATTTAAACTCAGAGACTGTGCTCTGAATGGCCAAAATTGGAAGCATTTGAGCCAGAAAATAATGAAGGCATTGTATTTTAACCCACAGAATAAAATGAATATCCATGAGTCCATACTGATACAAGTGATCAAATAAATAAATGGGAGAAAGAGGGCAGCTTTTTTTTACAGGAAACTTTCAATTAAAAAGGAAGCAGGAGATGGGAAAAAAAAAAATCACCGTTAGGCAAACATCACTCTAAGAATTGTTGTAGACAAGATCCATCAATGGGTATTAAAATCAGTAGGTGAAAATTTGAGGATAAACAGAGTTTGTATAAGTCTCAAAGTAGCACCTCCAAGATAATTATTAGTTGTAAAGGGAAAGATAATAATTTTATAGTGGGGAAACATAGTAGATACTACCCTAAGTGATTAGGTTTAGTATCACCAGTGATAAGACCTATCAACCTCATCAATCAGTGACATTTTTTTTTAAATCAGTGACATTTTAAACTCCTTAAAATAACTAATGAGCACTCTTCAAATGGGTCAAAATAATGAAGGACAAGGTAAAACTGAGGAACTATCTCAGATGGAAGAGACTAAGGAGAAATAATTAAATGCAATGTAGATTCTGGATACAAGAACAACAAAAAATTATTAGCAGGAAAATTGATGAAATTCAAATAAAATCTGGAGTTTAGTTAATAGTATTGATAATTGAACCATGGTTATATAACTGTCTAGTATTGGGGGAAGTTGAGTGATTTCTCTGTACCATTTTTGCAAACTTTCTGTAAGTCTAAACTTAGTTAAAAATTAAAAGTTAAGGGACACCTGGGTGGCCCAGTGGTTGGGCGTCTGCCTTTGGCTCAGGTCATGATCCCAGAGTCCTGAGATCAAGTCCCCCATCGGGCTCCCCGTGGGAAGCCTGCTTCTCCCTCTGCCTATGTCTCTGCCTCTCTCTGTGTCTCTCAGGAATAAATAAATAAAATCTTTAAAAAAGATTAAAAGTCAAAAATTTTAAAGTAGGACACTGAGTATAACCGAGGTCAACATAGGGCAGTCAGAGTAACTTAATTCTCAAAGAGAATCACTGTTTTTTATATTCAAGGACCTCAAGCTCACCTGACACATAGCAGGTGCTGAATTTGATAAATAACCAATGACTACCTAGAGTATACCAGTTGAAATACTTAAGAACTCATCAGCATCATCCCAGGCAACTACCAAACTGATGAGACAGAGGGGAAAGAGAAGGAAAAACAAACATTAATAAAGACCAGGGGAAATTCCATTTGGGGAACATTTAAAAACTGAAAAAGGCTCACTCTCACACCAGCTCCCTTCGGTTTACTAACACCAACACTTTCCTAAGGGGAAAGAGCCCCATCTCGAATAGATGGCACTTGCTCTCCCTCATGCCCACCACCTCCTCTGTCATTGAATGTTCAAAAGCTTAATGAGGGTGAACCATTTTCTTGTTTTACAGGATAAACTAAATTTAGGATTTCTCATCATTCATATATGCTATTCTATACCTTATCATAGGGCAGAATTTATCTGGAGGAAATAAATTTCCACAAAACAAACAAACAAAAAACACAAAAGCAGTGCTTCTCTCTCCTAATTCCGAAAGGAACTGCTGCTTGGATGGTCCCTTCCACCCTGAGGCACTCTGGAGCAGTGTCCCTGACTCCAGGCAAGAGCTGCCGGATGGTCCTACATTATCCATTTTACAGCAAGAGTTGCCACAGAAAGGTCAGGAAACATGAAATATGCTTAGCAAGCAAAGGACTGAAATTGGTTTGTGAAGTATATGTTACGCAGCATCACAGAATTCAGAAGAATTTCTGATGGGGGATTTTAATGGAGATTCATGGTGTACTTGAGACACATCCCAGAGAGCCCTGCAGGGGGTCAGCCAGAGTGCCCTTTCTGCCGTCCTTAGGGGCACACCAATGAGAAGGCTTGAGAAGGCCTAAGGAAATGGGAAAAACAAAGGCTCTGAAGTCACAAAGAGCTGAGTTCAAATCTCGCTACCAGGTGTATGAATGGCTTTGGGCAAGTAACCAAAATTTCTGAATCTGTTTTGCCAATTTGTTTAAAAAGCATGTTTAATGTTCCAAGAACGCCTCCAGCAAATTCACTGGGGAAATCTGTTAAAACTACAGATTCCTGGGCCCTACTCCAGAGCTTATAGCTCAGAACAGCTGGGCCTAGGACTTGGGAAAATGAATTTTTAACTAGCTCCCAGATGATTCTTCTACCCATTAAAATTTAAGAACCACTGAAATGAGAGAATGGGCCGAGAATGCAAGAGATCCTTCAGCAATGTTCATTTTCCTTCCAGTGAGGACAAGCGGTAAGAAGATATGTGAGGGGTGCCTGGCTGGCTCAGCCAGTAGAGCACGTGACTCTTGATCTCAGGGTTGTGAGTTTGAACCCCGCGCTGGTGTAGAGATTACTTAAAAATAAAATCTTAAAAAAGATATGTGAAAATGAGACTATTAAAATCCAGTTGAATAATTTTTTTATTCCATCATTCAATAATTTATTCTAAGGAAATAATCAGAAAGGCAGACCAAAATATTCAAACCAACATTATAAAAATAACCAAAAATCGCAAAGAATCAGAATGTTAACAATACGGAGCTGATTTAATTAATTACAATACCTCCATGTGCTGGAACACATGTTTTTATTAAAAAGGTGTTAAAAAACTTAACTACATGAGAAAGTGCTCATGATAGCGAAGCGGGGAAAAAAAAAAACCAATATAAAAACGTATGTGTACAATTCTTATTTTTCTCTATATGTATGGCATGCATGTATTTTATATATAAAATGCCAGAAAAAAAAATCACTGCTGTTTATTAATTACAGAATTAGAGAAATTGTTTTTTTCCCATATGTTCTAGTTGTTGTAAAGGGGGGGAGGGTTGTGACAGAAACAACACTGTTTTATTTTTTTGATAAAGTGACTACATAGATTTCCTTCAAAATATATTAAAATTTAAAGATGACACAATAGACAGGATTATAAATTTTCAGTTACATTAGTTTGGCAGCAATTCATTCATATAACTTTTAAGGAGATCTGTTCTAAAGAGGTCCCAACAAGCCCAAGTTTTAAAAAAAACAAAAACAAACCAAAAAAATCCTCAAAGCCTGTCAATAATTTTCAATGCCAGAGAACACTGCAGTCTCTCTGTTCGAAATTCCTTTTTTTTTCTGTTCGAAATTCCTATTCCTAGGTTCTACTCCAGAGATTTTTATTCCTAAGGTCTGAGGTGATGTCAGGAAATTCATATTTTCAACAGGAACCTAGGTATGTTTGAGAAACCACCACTGTACCTTGATGGCTTAAAAAAACGAGAGACTAAAACCTCCACTGACTTGCTTCTGATGTTCCCACTCTGAATAAAGATCTCTAAGAGACGGTTAGCTCTCAAATTATTTGTATGAACCTCTGGAAAAAGCACCCATTATTATTAGCTCAGTTTAAAATAGATACTAAATACATATTCTATCAAGTGTCATATAAAATACCGCAACAGAGCTAGTTTTATTGCCCTTCCCCAACAAGATTATGCGGTTCAAACAATTTAGTGCTTCTCTCCAACAGATGTTTCTAATTTGATCAAGGCACACATGACAGGAACCTGAAAAATCCTGAAATTCCGTGGGGTTTAACGGCCAACCTTGCTCTAGAAGATAAAATTCCAAAAAGATAAACTGTGGTCCAACCAAGCCTTATCTACTCTCCTAGAGAGACACAGTCCAGCACTCCTGCCCAGCCCCCCGGCCTAGAATAGCCCTCCACCCCTCTTTTCAAGCCCATTATCTTCGCCAGGACCCAGAATAATATTCATTCCTATCAAACAGTCCCTTTCCTGCATCCCCAACATGTTATCTCCCTTTCTTAAAAAATTCAGAAATCAAAGGTGCCCGGGTGGCTCAGTGGTTGAGCCTCTGCCTTCAGGCCAGGGCCTGACCCTGGAGACCGGGGATCGAGTCCCGCATCGGGCTCCCTGCAGGGAGCCTGCTTCTCCCTCTGCCTGGGTCTCTGCCTCTCTCTGTGTCTCTCATGAACAAATGAATAAAATCTCTTCTTTAAAAATGTAGGAATCAACACACACACACCTGTCCTCAATCCTCGAATTACTATTTCCTTGCTCCTCGCTCTCGTCGCCCGGGCTGCAGAGCTCTCCCGGTGCCTGGGCGCTCCGCCGCCTCCTCGCTCTCCCACCCTGGAGCACCCTGGAGCACCCTGCACCCGCCGCACCCGCCGCCCCCGCCGCACCCGCCGCCCCCGCCCTGTTGGCCGCCGCTCCCCGAAGCCCCGCAATCCCAAGGTCCTGCCCGAGTCCCCGTCCTGCCGGACTCTGCGAACTGGAGTCAGCCCTCGCCTACGGAAGGCCGATCCACACCCCGGGGGATGCCGCCGCCCCCGACTCCGGGCAGGTGTCTCCCGGGTCCCTGGAGCCCAGGTGAGTCGGCGGCCGCAGCAGGCCCCGGGCTGGGACCCGCGGGTCGGTTTCCCAGGAGAAGCCCCGCGAGCCCGGGCTCCTAGGAGGAAGGGGCTCGTTCCCGCCGGTGCACCCGCGGGGGGCGGGCGCCACCCCGGGGCCGGAGCCGCCCGAGCCTGTCCGCGCCGGCTCCCCCGCCCGCCTCGGCCTCCGCAGGCCCCCGCTCCCGCCCCGCCGCCCGGCCCCGCGCGGCAGCCACCCCGGGGCGCCCCACGGCGGTGACCCACGGCGGCGCCCCCCCGGCGCCCCCGCCCCCCAGGCGCCGGCCAGCCCCGCGCGGCGCACTCACCGCAGGCCCCGGCGCCGCGAGCACCTCCCCCGGCAGCGGAGGCCGAGACCCGGGCCCGGGCCCGCCGCGGCCGCCCGGGAGGAGGGGCCCGAGCGCGGCTCCGCCCCCGCCCTCCACGGGCCTCGGAGGCGGGGCCTGGGGCGGGGGTGGGGCCGAGGCCTGGGGCGGGCGGGGCCTGGGGCGGGCCGCCGGCTCCGCTCGCGTGGCGCTCCGCCCCCCGCCTTCCCGGCGCCTCGGGGGCGGGGCCGGGGGCGGGGTCGAGGCCTTGGGGCGGGCCGAGGCCTTGGGCGGGGCCGCCCGGCTCTGCTCGCGTGGCGCTCCGCCCCCCGCCTTCCCCGGGCCTCGGGGGCGGGGCTCCGGGCGGAGGCGGGGCGGGGCCTCGGTCTTGGGGGCGGGGACTAGGCCTCGGGAGCGGGGCCGGGGGCGGGGGTGGGGCCGGGGCCTGGGGGCGGGGCCGCCCGGCTCCGCTCGCGTGGCGCTCCGCCCCCCGCCTTCCCGGGGCCTCGGGGGCGGGGGCCGGGGGCGGGGCCTCGGTCTTGGGGGCGGGGACTAGGCCTCGGGAGCGGGGCCGGGGGCGGGACCTCGGGGCGGGGCCGCCCGGCTCTGCTCTCGTGGAGCTCCGCCCCCCGCCTTCCCGGGGCCTCGGGGGCGGGGCCTGGGGCGGGGTCTGCGGGCGGGGCCGAGGCCTTGGGGCGGGGCGGGGCCGCCCGACTCTCTGCCCCGTGCGCTCCGCCCCCAGCCCGACCGGCCCCGCCCCCCCGGGGGTTGATGGGGGAGACCTAGGGGGGCGAAGGAGGGCCGGGCAGCTCGTCTCTGCGGAGACCGTAAACCCTTGTGCTAATCATACTGAGCTCGGGGCTGAGCTTCGCACATTCATCCCCTGTAAACGCTCACAAAGCATCCTCGGTTAGTTCAGAGATGGTTAGTTCTGGTTTTGCAGAAGAGGAAACTGAGGCTTTGGAGGTTAGTTAAACGTACCTTACATCGCCCGAACACCTTGCAGCTTCCCCGGATACATGATGTCCCAATTACCTGCCTTTCCCATGTCACAGGACGATTGAGAATATTAACTGAATAAGTTGGGAGAAATCCTAACTTCTTCAAAGATATCATAACAGAAAATCAAGACAAAAACCTATTTATCACTAGAGGTTTAAGTGGAAACTCGTAGTGAGCTCTGCTTAGGCGGGCGGGATAGCAGGCCAGACTCTCCAGGGCACCCTGCCTTCTACAGGAATGTAAGAGGTCCTCGAGAATTGCCCTAACCCACAAGGGACAAACCATGAGAAGAACCAGCACTGGGGTCAGGTCACTGAGCTCTAAGCAGATCTGGGGTTTTGCTGAGGGTGCATGGAGAGTTTCTACCCACATTAATGTGGGATTGAAAGCAAAACCAAACCTGAGCCCTTGAAGAGTTGCCAAGTCTCCTTGCTCTAAGCAGAAGCGATAGACACCCACCTGGAGGATGCATCCTTGTGACAGTCCCATAGGATTCACACAAATGCAAGTTAACAACAACAAAATCGCCAAGCATAAGTAAAGTCAACAGAACTGATACACAATATATTAAAGGATTCTCTAACATAGGATAAAGAACTCTTTTTTTTTTTTTAACTTTAAAGGCAAAGAAAAATAAAGGATGTCCCTGGAGATTACTTACCAATTATGATGGAGATAGAGCACCAGGACATTGGAAAAATCTGGCAGACATCACCTTAATCAAATACTCAAAGTCCACCAGTAGTACAAGTTGGCATCACACACAAGATGGTGTTCTAAGGCGATGACATCACCTTTATTATATTCCTGCCAAAAATACAGAATCGGAATTTAATCATGAGGAAACTGTCAGATAAACCCAAATTAAGAGACATTCTACAAAACAACTGGCCTCCCCATCTCGATAATTTCAATGTCATAAAAGACAAAGAAAAATAAAAACTGTTCCAGACAAAGGAGACTAAAGATATTTGATATCTGAATTTCTGGATTGAAGAAAAGTGGCTACAAAGTATATTACTGAGACAATAGGAAATGGATATGTACAGTGTGGTAGATTAAAAACAGCCTGGAGGGGATCCCTGGGTGGCGCAGCGGTTTGGCGCCTGCCTTTGGCCCAGGGCGCGATCCTGGAGATTCGGGATCGAATCCCACGTCGGGCTCCCGGTGCATGGAGCCTGCTTCTCCCTCTGCCTGTGTCTCTGCCTTTCTCTCTCTCTCTCTCTCTCTCTCTCTCTCTCTCTCTGTGACTATCATAAAGAAATAAAAAAATTAAAAAAAAAATAAATAAATAAAAACAGCCTGGAATTCTTTGACATTCCTCTGGCTGAGAAATGGGTACATATTTCCCTTCTTTTTAAATATGAGCTGGCCTATGACTGCTTTGACAAATGGAGTAGAATGGAAGGGAAGGGGTACCAGTTCTGAACCCAGCCTTTATTTTTTTTCCTGAGCCCAACCGTTAAACGGCAATTTCTGGGGGTGCCTAGATGGCTCAGTTGGTTAAGTGTCCAACCCTTGATTTTGGCTCAGGTCATGATCATGAGATTGAGCCCTGCATCAGGCTCCATGCTCAGGGTGGAATCGCTTGAGGTTCTCTCTCTCCCTCTGCCCCTCCCCCTTTTCACACTCTCTCTTAAAAATAAATTAATTATTTTTTAAAGGCAATTTCTGCTTCTATACTGTTTCTTGAATTTGATTATTGTATTGTGGTTATATAGAAAAGTGACTTTATTCTTAAGAATTATTTAATGAGTAACTATCATGATGTCTGCAATTTCTCTCAAATAGTTCAGTTAAAGTGGGTGTGTGAGAGAGCAAGAGAGAGAGAGAATGGGACACCTGTGTGACTCAGCTGTTAAGCATCTGCCTTTGGCTCAGGGCGTGATCCTGCAGTCTTGGGATTGAGTCCCACATGGGGCTCCCTGCGTGGGGCCTGCTTCTCTCTCTGCCTGTGTCTCTGCCTCTCTCTGTGTGTTTCTCATGAATAAATAAATAAAATCTTAAAAAAAATTAAAAAGAGAGAGAGAATAAGCATGCATAAATGTGGCAAAATGCTAACAGTTGATAAATCTAGATGAAGTGTATACAGCTGTTCCTGGAATAATTTTTACAACTTTTCTAAGCCTTGCCATTTCATGCTCAAAAAACTGAAAGAAAAAGAAAAAGGATCCAATCTCAAAGAGGAAAAAAGCAATAACTTGACCTCCCTTTTTGGCCAAGATGAACTAACATGGACAAGATATACCACCCCACCCAATTTACCTAAAGCAAAACAAAAGAAAAAATCAGACATAATATCTAAAACAACAGTTTTCAAGATACTCTGTATGAAGCAGTAAAGGATCTCTGAGAGACAGGAAGTAACAAGGGGAGTCCTATAACTGCCCCAGTTTGCTACTTCGAGAGTTTCCAAGCATGGCAGAAGGAAGAGAAAGCTGGGACAGAGACTGGAAGACTCCCTGAGTTGGGAAAACAGACCAGAGAGTCCAGCGACCAAAGCAGCTAGGGTTCACAGGACAGAAAACAGAAAGAGGACAGTTGCACAGAGACAGAGTACTGGACAGATCTACAGTGTTCTCCCTCAGGTATTTATGACCCATACATAAATCTAAGGAAATTGTTCTAGGCCCGAGTAAGAACCATCTGTAAGGATTGGAGGGAATGGTTCTTTTTGCTCACATTGGGCTAGGACCAGTATCTATTTCAATTAGCCAGACTGGAAAAACCCATAATTCAAAGGCACTGGCTACAGTGTTCAGGAAGATCTTGCCTCAGTAGTGGAGAAGCAGCCTTACTATGAGCACGGCTCCAGACCTACCTACTATAAAATAAAAACAAGATCCCAAGGATGGAAAGAGAGAAACTATGCTAATACTAGCCAAAGAAAAATGAGATTATCTACTTTCAGATGAAACAAAGTAAATTTAAGACCAAAGAATATAACCAGAGATTAAGAAGGTAGTTTTATCATTTTAAGGATAAAGGGGTCAATTTATCAAATAGAAATAACAACCTAAACATTATGAACCTAATAACAGTGCTTCAAAATACATGAAGTTAAAACTGATAGAACTGCACAAAGAAATAGATGAATCCACAATTATAGTCAGAGATTTTAACACTTCTCTCAATAATTGCTAGACCATGTATGCAGAAAATCAGTATGGAATAGAAAATTTGAATAATGGTATTAATTACCTGACTTGATTGACATTTATAGAACACCCAACAATACCAGAATACACATTCTTCCAAGTACACAGAGAACTATTCTGGGCCATAGACTCAATAAAATTCAATAGGATTTAAGTCATACAACCTCTGTTCTCTGACCACAGAAAAAATTAAATTAGAAATCAATAACTTGGGATGCCTGGGTGGCTCAGTGATTGAGCGTCTGCCTTTGGCTCAGGACATGATCCCGGGTCCGGGTTTGAGTCCCACATCGGGCTCCTTGCATGGAGCCTGCTTCTCCCTCTTGCCTGTGTCTCTGCCTCTCTCTGTGTGTCTCTCATGAATAAATAAATAAAATCTTAAAAAGAAAGAAATAAATAACTTGAAGATCCATGGAAAATCCCCAAGTATTTGGAAACTAAACAACACCCTTCAGTATAATTGGATGATGGAAAAAGAAATCAAAAGAGAAATTTAATGAAAATGAAAACAGCATATCAGAATTTGTAGATGCCATTAATGCAGTACTTAAGAAAGCTTATAGCACTAAATGTCTATATTAGGAAAAAAGAAAAGTCTCAAATCAGGACCTCAGCTTCTGTCTTACAAAACTAGAAAAGAAAGAGCAAATCAAACAAAAAACAGAGTAAAGGAAATAATAAAGACCAAAGCAGGAACCAATGAACTAGAAAAGAAGAAAACAATAGAGAGAATCAAATAAAGCAAAGGCTGGGTCTTCCAGAAAATCAATAAAAATGGATTAAGCTTTATAACTGGACTAACCAGGAAAAAAAGAAAAAAAACAAATTATCATATCATAAATATGCAGTTGACATCACTACATATTCTACAGGCTTAAAGGATAAAATTGGGTCTTTTAAGAATTCACAAGTGTGATGATTGA